TTTACATTATTATTATTTCAATGTCTTTCAACAGTTTTATATCTAGTTTTTCTTAGTAATATTATTCAATGGTGCTTTATTTGTGGAATTTATATAGCTAAATGTGTGGAAAATATATGGTCAAAAATACGCTGATTGTTTCAAGTGACATGTTTATTATGTTCTTAGGTCAATGATACTTGTGCTTTTGCTGTTAATACGTTATATTCACACACGTTAAATACATCTATCTATATTTTTATGTACTGTAACGAATCAAATAATTCTAGTATGTGTGGTAATGAAATTTGAGCACAGTATAGAGGTACACACTACAACCAGCTGACTCAAGCAGCTGACATCACCTGACAAAGCCAAATACACAGAAATATACTACATATGTCACTATTATTACTTCGAACACTGCTATTATTATCAGATTCGTGTCACTAAATCACGAGTATAAATAATTTTCCACACGATTATTTTCTAAGGGGACATGAGGTCACTTTGCATGATGTGTAGAATAACAAACCTTGGCTGGGTCCTGTGCCTGTCTGTCTCCTGCTGTGAACATCATAACTAGAAATGTGTTTACTAATATCTGAACCTTTTACATAATGTTGAGTACAGTCGGGATCATCTGTGACACTTATCAACACAAAATAATTGCAGTTACCCGGTACATATTTTATTTGTCATCAAGTGGTGGTGTGGCCTGGACTTGTGGAGCTGTGTTGTGAGCTGGAGCTGTATGCACCAGCCTTGGTCGCTCTGGCAGTACTGAGGCTCTCACTGCCAGGAGAGACATTGACAATTATTTTTCAAGATGGTGTTTGTTTACTGGAGTCCTGAGGATGTGAGCCCCATGTACCCGCGGGAGTTTTGAGTGTTACGATATACAGTACTAATAAACATGATATTTAGGGTGATGCACCCCATTTTCCCCATGATATCATGGGTAGCCCAGTACAGTGGTTAATACGACTCCAATCACGTCCCCCCCCCCCCTCCCCCTCTTGTAAATGGGCACAACATTAGGAGAAATAGTCAGTCTTGGAAAAACCATTTAGCATATTTTAAAAAATTCTATTGGTTTATTTAAATTTTAAGTTTTACCTTAAAAATATAGAAAACTTGTCAGTAGGCAAAAAAAAAAAAAGTGCCTTATTTTGGATATCTGGAATATGATGATCCCGAATTTGGAAATGTTATTGTATTAACATGTTGTGTGATTGACCCCTTGAGTTCAAAGAAAACTTCTTCGGGTATTAGGTTAATATTTTGAATGTTTCAGACATTATTATCTATCTCTAGTATGGATATCTTAAAGCTTGGAGAACTCCGTTTTTGTGTGTACAGTATTCATGTGATATCGGGAGACTGTCTTTCCATTAAACATTGAATTGTTAAAGATCTTTGTATTTGGAAATGTTCTAGTACGAGAATAACACATTAACGGTACATACAGTGTAAACTTGCTTGAATGAACGATATGGAACGAAACCCATTCATTGCAATGTAGAATTTTTTAAATCGTCAGACCCCTGGTAACCGCTCCAGGTTATTATTTTGTTTTGTTTTTCTGTGGGGAGTCCCTTCGGCTTCCCTGGAGCTATCAGGCTAATATGCTAATCATTAGACTGGGCCATTAGCTTATGGAGTTTAACCTACCAGGACCCTGAGCCAAAACCTGGCTCCCTGAGAGGGACAGGGAGCATTGGCCTTGGAAAAAACCCTGTGGTATTGGGTTTTCCTTATCTGCCATCAACCAGGGCTAAACACCCAGAAAGGTAGCATAACAAAAACAGACCCCACATGGTCAGAAAATTGCAGCCAAAACCAAACAGAGAGGCAGAACCCCCTCCAAACCCAAGGAAACGAGCAAACGTCACACTCCATCGCCTTGTGGCTACCTACCTATGCAGTGGCCGGTTCCTGTTTCCTCTGGGGATGCTGTACTTTTGCGGGGGGGTTTCTTGTTTTGTTTTCCCCACCCGGTGTGGCTATAGTTCCACTTGTATTATTTTGGTGGCTCTCTGCTAGGCCCCCGTGATTGTACACATCACGGGGGTTTCAGCATTTTGATCTTCCCCTTGTTAGCTTTGGGTCTTAACCGGTTAGCAACACCTTGCCTGAGCTTCCCATAGCAGTCAGTCTAAGGGCCCTGGAAAACCCTGTCAGGGCTCGGTGGACCCATAGGTGCATCTTCAGAGTTCCAGCCCCGCCTCATGCGGGATTGAAGGTTGCTGTGTGCCCTTGTCTCAGGGGCCATGGTCACCACTTTTGCCTCTGTCAAGCTGTTTGTTGGATCAACAACACCTTTGACCCGGAGTCTTGCGAGTCGCGTTCTTTGCTTGTTTGCCAGCATTATTCCAATGACATTGCTGTTAGGGGTACAGGCAGCATTCCCTTTGCATGCTAGTTTATGTTGCTGCAACGCACTAAGTTGGTTTCCTTACCGGATGCTCCGCGGGTGCCCCGCTTTTGTTATAGGGACCCGGACTTGGGAGCATTAGTCGCTTCAACTTTTGGTTCAGTCCGTGCTCCCTGGTCCTACCCCCCTCCCCCCTTGCTTCCAGTTCCCAAACGTTTGAGGGTTTTGGGGTGGGGGCAGGGTTCAGTTGGTAATGAGACTTGGGCAGCTTTGGGGGCTGCCTCGTTCTGGTTGGGGGCAGAGGCATTCGAGTCGGTTCCACCTTCCGAGGCTTCTGAGTCCCACCAGCAGGCCCTCTTCTTTTCAGCCTTTCCCCTGGACTCTGTCTTTTCTTCAGGGGTAGTGGGTATAGAGGACAGCTCTGCCCCGGGTCCCGAATTTAGGGATCCCGGGGTTGGGGAGGAGTTGACCTCGGGGCATTGGGCCCTCTTTGACTCCATTTGGGTGTTGGTGCATGGGAGGTGTTTTTCTTAATTCCCCCCTTCCCCCCCTCCCTGTATAATTTGTGGTCAGCTTTCTTCCCAATCCAGGTTCGGTTCCGGGCTTCCTTGGGTTCCTCGGCTCTGTCTTTCCGGAGGTTTTCCGCCTCTCGAATCTCACCTAAAGAGGTTCAAGAGGCTCTTTCTGCGTACCTCCTGCGAGATCCCGGATTCCGCCTCCATGATGGATCCGTCCTTATTTCAATTCGGTGGTTCTTTCCCGTATTGGGTGCGTTTGGAGGTTCCAGAGTCTTCCTGGCTGGCAGACTGCCCATTCTTTTCATTGGGGGCATGGCATGGGTTCTGCAGATTTACCTGGGGGGGGGCTGGGTGCCTGTCCCAGTCGATGGTAGATATAGAATGCTCCAAAATTACATGTGCATTTCTATAGGCCATTGCTCCTCGTGCCTCTCTGAGGGGGGTCAGGTTCTGGCTTGTAGTCCTCGGTAGGCCTACAAATCCACCCACATCGACTGATGCCAAAGTTAGGGATAGTTTTATCAGCCTGGAGAGCTCCAGGAAGCCTCCGGGACTCAACCAAAAAATGGCGTTTCATTACATTCAACGCTAGTTTATTGTGCACCACATACTCACCCTGTGAGCGGTAGCACAAAAAGTATTACAGAGGGCACAAAAGGTCTTTATCAGACCTCAATGGAGATTATTACATAAACAATTTCATCTATCCTTCATACCTTATAATTACAATGTCAGCTAGTTACAGAGAAAGTTCTATTTCAAGAGCTATATATTTACAATAAGCCAATATACATTAATGGTAGGTTTTATTGCTAATACATGTTTGAGCAATGGAGATATTACAGAGTCATAGGCAAGCTGCTGCTTATTAATAGTCTTCACAATACACTACTTATTACTTAATCTCATATGCCGTTTATCTACTGGAAGCGAAATATGGATAATGCAAGGATTTCAGGTATTTTATCCTTAGTAATAAAATAGGTTGCCATATCATACAGCATACATTTAGATTTATCTCTAAATGGCTCAATTTTACTACAATCCAAGATATAGTGTTCAAGTGTGTGTCCTTGTCTTTGTCCACACACTTTACACTTTATCTAGATCCCTATACAAGCCCAACTGCCAGAGATACTTGTAGCCAAGTCTTATCCGAGCTGTGACAACATCTGTTAGTCTGCTGATTTTGTTACTTGCCCCATACACATGTTTTGATTCACACATTTCATTGTGATAAACAATGGACCTGCTAGTTCCAGTTTGCACTGTTCTTTGGGCCTATCCTGAAGGTGGTGTGTGTGTTCTTTGCTTCTCATCTCGCATGCCATCAGTCTGTGCTCGCTCTCTCTTTGGAATCCACTTGGGCCCCTGGCTCAGGGCCTTGGCTTATTCTCAAGACAGCTGTTATATCCATATTTGCATCATTCATGTTAAATGCAAACAATAACTTTAAATCATCATATGATGGCCGCAGTTCCCTAGTAACATGCATGACAATGACCACATTCATACCATGAAATGGTGACAGTATTTTTTTTGTGAGTCAAGATAAACTCCATTACATCCATATATCCATATTTGCATCTTGCATGTAAACCTTCAGACGATAATTGTTTAAATCGTCTTTTGATGATAATTTTGAGTCTCCTAGGGATCATCAATAGACGCAGGCGATGAGTCACAATAACGTGGCTAAAGTATGTTGACCAGACCACACACTAGAAGGTGAAGGGATGACGACGTTTCGGTCCGTCCTGGACCATTCTCAAGTCGATTGTTCATTCTCAAGACAATCGACTTGAGAATGGTCCAGGACGGAACAAAATGTCATCGTCCCTTTACCTTCTAGTGTGTGGTCTGGTCAACATCATCAATAGACTATAATCACAGCCTAAAGGTTAAGTCAACAACAAGTCAGTTCATGCACCCAACATTAGTTATCTATTATTATTCTCAGGACATCTATTTCCAGAGATTGACACCAAAATTCTTTAATACTTTTCTTTTAAAATGTATTTCAATAATATTTTTACATTTTCCTTTGCAACCTTGATGATTGTGACTCAGTAGTAATTGATTTCTCACATCTTGAATGTTATTGATCATTTTTTGTGGTTGCGCAGAAAAAGAAAGTAGTTGAGGAAGAGATGGAAATGGACGACAACGTAGCAGAGAGGATGGAAGCAGGACCCTCGGGAGATACAAAGGAGAAGGAAAAACTTGCTCGTGAGGAGGAAATGTCTGAAGACGAGGACAAAATTGCAGAGAATGATGACGACGATGACGCCAAAAGAAAAATGAACCCCGAAGACAGTGACAGTGATGAATAAAAATATATATATATCGACTTAATGAAACACGGTTGATTTCAGGTATTTAGTGCATTCATTTTCATTAAGATCGACCATGTAAATTGTTTTAATTAATGTTTTTGTTTGTTACAGGTTAATATATTTAATATGTTAAGACAATTGGTAGAATGATTGAATTGGTAATGCTTTGAACTGAAAACCCATGAAAATTATTATTCAAGAAAATTTTAAGACAGTGTCTGTGGTCATTTAAATCGTAAAGAGGTTGTAAGGGTCGTGTGTCCTACCTGGGTGGTGGTAGCTTGTTATACTACAGGAGAGAAGAGAATATGTTGTGTGTTCATGGAGGCTTATACAAAACTAGTATAACTGTAGCATATTCTGCTCCAACACATTAAATATGAATAAAGAATTAATTTTTGTTATTAATCCTACTCATCAAAATGCTGTATAGAGAAACACTTCCATAATGAAACCAGGCAAATTTGTACATACAGTATTGTATAGTATTTTATTCTAATAAAAGTTCTAGCTATGCAACGAGGTGTTTTAGGACTGTCAAAACACCTGTGTGTTGAAGTACCATTTATGTCTGTATGTTGGATGAGGTGATCATGTCTCTATGATAAAAACTTAAAACAAACTGAAATACAAATTATTTTACTTCTTTTGTAATCAAAAATACACTATGGACATTTTTGTTACAAGTAAAATGACATAGATGCTCTGGAGCCACTGGGATTATAAATTGTAATTTTCGCATTTTTTTAAATAAAAGCAATGAAGACTATATAATTCCACTTGAATTGATGCTATGCTTGGAGATATTAAGGAATAAATAACATGTGATCTTGTGTGTGGCTGCAGGCTAAGTGTCTGGACTCTTGGTCACTGGTCTCCGGACGGATGGACATAAAACCCATTTCCTGTTATACACATCACTGGGTCATTCCATGCCAAATCATTAGAAAAAACTGAACTTTTCAACATGACCATCTCAGATTTTCATGAAATTTGGTAGACTGGAAGAGGACATTACTGTAATTTAAATACGCACAATTTTAGCGCTTAGTGAAGCATGATATTCATACAGCAGGGTTGCTAATGTGGACAATGTAACATTTTTGCTTACATGGTGAGCACAAAAATTAAAGGTGTGCCTCTTAACTTAAGTAAAACCTTCATATTGTACTTGTTTTGAAGCTAAGGAAGCACTGTTTTCATTAAAAAGGTTTACACTGATTATTGAATTTCTTAATTTCAAGATTGTGACAGTTAACCTTGAATACATAAGAAAGTATATCTTGAAATTTTGTGGGAAAGTTTTTATACAGTTAAATGTATTCTCTCTGGTGCAAGTTTCATTTTGGGACGGCTTTGGGAGCAGGAATACAAAAATCATGAAAGATGCATAACTCATATTCAGTAAATACCTCAGCTCTTGTTTACGGAAATGATCATATCTGCGAATGTAATATAATGTCATATACAACGCTAAGGAAAACTTTCTTGAAACCAACTTAATGAGGAAAACATACAATCATATGAACAAATCCACAAGGGCCGTGATGAGGATTCGAACCTGCGTCCGGGAACATCCCAGACGCAGGCTCATACAATCATAAGTGGAGATGCAGCAGAACTTCTTGCGAGCTTTGAGTGTGTGCTGCAGTTATTATGCAAGTTCATCCAGGTGCAGTTCATGGATCCTCCTTAGTGAGAACTTGTTAAATGTGTCTGGCTGGTAAGGATACACACATGATGGGGATGGGCCATTGTCATGTAGGAAACTGATCAAAACCTGTAGTGTTTGCATCACATTTATGACAGCCTAACCACCAGGCGTCAATATAGATGCAAGTCACAAACCCTTTTTTATTTCTTGCCAAGATAATGTTTCATGTAGGATATTTGTTAGCCATACTTTACTAGTTGTTGCTATTATTTATTCATTCCTTGTTCCTGGTATGAAAGCAACAAATGTTAAGAGTTCCAGGAACTGGCCTAAAGGCTTCATGTTGTCTGTGTAGCAACTTCTCATTCTCCATTATTTCTTGTTCACACACGCATGCACACGCGCGCGCGCACACACAAAGTTCATTCAGAACTTTGTATACCACATATGTCAGGCCAATCCTGGAGTATATAGCCCCAGCATGGAGTCCATATCTAGTCAAGGATAAGACTAAACTGGAAAAGGTTTAAAGGTTTGCCACCAGATTAGTATCCGAGCTGAGAGGTATGAGCTACGAGGAGAGACTACGGGAATTAAACCTCACTTCGCTGGAAGACAGAAGAGTCTGAAGGGAATTGATAGGGTAGATAAAGACAGGCTATTTAACACAAGGGGCACATGCACAAGGGGACACAGGTGGAAACTGAGTGCCCAAATGAGCCACAGAGATGTTAGAAAGAACTTTTTTAGTGTCTGAGTGGTTGACAAATGGAATGCATTAGGAAGTGATGTAGTGGAGGTTCACTCCATACACAGTTTCAAGTGTAGATATGATAAGAGCCCAATAGGCTCAGGAATCTGTACACCTGTTGATTGACGGTTGAGAGGCGGGACCAAAGAGCCAGAGCTCAAATCTTGCAAACACAACTAGGTCAGTACACAGAACAGCGTTCAGGAACCTGTGTAAGGAATCATTCAGAATCTTGTACACCACATATGTAAGACCAATCCTGGAGTATGCGGCCCCAGCATGGAGCCTGTACCTTGTCAAGCACAAGACGAAGCTGGAAAAAGTCCAAAGGCATGCCACTAGACTAGTCCCAGAACTAAGAGGCATGAGTTACGAGGAAAGGCTGCGGGAAATGCGCCTTACGACCCTGGAGGACAGAAGAGTAAGGGGAGACATGATCACAACCTACAAAATCCTCAGGGGGATCGACCGGGTAAACAAGGATAAACTCTTCAGCACGGGAGGTACACAAACAAGGGGACAGAGGTGGAAACTGAGTACCCACATGAGCCACAGGGACATTAGAAGGAACTTTTTCAGTGTCAGAGTAGTTAACGGATGGAATGCATTAGGCAGAGATGTGGTGGAGGCTGACTCCATACACAGTTTCAAATGTAGATATGATAGAGCCCAGTAGGCTCAGGAACCTGTACACCAGTTGATTGACAGTTGAGAGGCGGGACCAAAGAGCCAAAGCTCGACCCCCGCAAGCACAAATAGGTGAGTACACACACAAAAAAAATAGCAGTAGTTAGAAAAAGTTGATTGACAGTTGAGAGGCGGGCCGAAAGAGCAGAGCTCAACCCCCGCAAGCACAACTAGGTGAATACACACAACATAGTTCCAATCTACAAAAGTGGAAGCAGGGAAGACCCCCTCAATTATAGACCGGTATCATTGACAAAGTGTAATAGTCAAAATATTGGAAAAATAATAAAAACTAAATGGGTAGAACACCCGGAAAGAAATAATATAATATCAGACAGACAGTATGGTTTTCGATCATTTAGATCCTGTGTATCAAATTTAATCAGTTTCTATGATAGAGCCACAGAGATGTTACAGGAAAGATATGGTTGGGTTGACTGCATCTATCTGGACCTAAAAAAAACTTTAGACAGAGTTCCACATAAATGTTGTTCTGGAAACTGGAAAATATTGGAGGAGTGACAGATAAGCTTCTAACATGGATGAAAAATTTTCTGACTGATAGAAAAATGAGGGCAGTAATCAGAGGCAATGTATCGGACTGGAGAAATGTCACAAGTGGAGTACCACAGGGTTCAGTTCTTGCACCGGTGATGTTCATTGTCTACATAAATAAATTACCAGTTGGTATACAGAATTATATTAATATGTTTGCTGATGATGCTAAGATAATAGGAAGGATAAGAAACTTAATTTAAATGATTGTCATGCCCTTTAAGATGACCTGAACAAAATAAGTATATGGAGCACCACTTGGCAAATGGAATTTAATGTTAATAAATGTCATGTTGTGGAATTGGAGAACACAGACCCCACACAACCTATATATTATGTGAGAAATCTTTAAAGAATTCTGATAAAGAAAGAGATCTAGGGGTGGTTCTAGATAGAAAACTATCACCTGAGGACCACATAAAGAATATTGTGCAAGAAGCCTATGCCACGCTTTGTAACTTCAGAATTGCTTTTAAATACATGGATGGCGATATACTAAAGAAATTGTTCATGACTTTTGTTAGGCCAAAGCTAGAATATGCAGCTGTTGTGTGGTGCCCATATCTTAGGAAGCACATCAACAAACTGGAAAAGGTGCAAAGACATGCTACTAAGTGGCTCCCAGAACTGAAGGGCAAGAGCTACGAGGAGAGGTTAGAAGCATTAAATATACCAAAACTAGAAGACAGAAGAAAAAGAGGTGATATGATCACTACGTACAAAATAGTAGCTTTATCATTTCATAAGAAAAAAATTAGAGAAAATATATTAATTCATGAAAACTTTGCTTATTAGGCAAATCGGGCCTTGCATAGTAGGCTGAGAAGTGCGTTCTGGCTACTAGGTACGACATGCATATATATATATATATATATATATATATATATATATATATATATATATATATATATATATATATATATATATATATATATATATATATATATATATATATGGTGTCAAGTTGGGAGTCGTGGGAAGAGGTGTAAGCATTAGATAATAACCTCCTTGTTACATAATCACTCACCAAGGCTGCCAACCTATGTTACATAATCACTCACCAAGGCTGCCAACCTATGTTACATAATCACTCACCAAGGCTGCCAACCTATGTTACATAATCACTCACCAAGGCTGCCAACCTATGTTACTATGTTACATAATCACTCACCAAGGCTGCCAACCTATGTTACATAATCACTCACCAAGGCTGCCAACCTATGTTACATAATCACTCACCAAGGCTGCCAACCTATGTTACATAATCACTCACCAAGGCTGCCAACCTATGTTACATAATCACTCACCAAGGCTGCCAACCTATGTTACATAATCACTCACCAAGGCTGCCAACCTATGTTACATAATCACTCACCAAGGCTGCCAACCTATGTTACATAATCACTCACCAAGGCTGCCAACCTATGTTACATAATCACTCACCAAGGCTGCCAACCTATGCCCTGAGTAGATATTAACATTTGAATTGTTGTTTATAAAAGTAGATTCTCTTGCTTTTGTTTTGTATCCACAGTGTTGGGGATAAATAATACAAGAATTATCCCATATCATTTTGTCATTGGTCTCACATGTTTATATAAAGGTGAGCTTTCTTGGCCATATCTAGCAAACCTCTTGTGTTTGGTAATACAGTACTGGCTTTCAGATCCCTGCCTGTTAGGCCATAATAAAATTTATTACACTCATTACAAAGAATCTTGTAGAAACAAATCCACAAGGACCGTGATGAGGGTTCGAACCATCGTCTGAGATGATCCCAGAAACGCCTTAGTCGATTACGCCACGACATGGAAAAGAATTGCAACTGGGAGTGCTATAGCCTTCACACGGACCCTGCAGCCTCTCTGAGACACAAACCAGGGTTTTACACAATTTCCCCATGCACCCGAGCTCTGTCAACAAGCTGTTCTACCTCTTCGCCTTTACAGTACTTCAATACATGCAGATATCACAATAGAGTGATACATCAAATGGTACCAATTAATTATCATTTGATGTATCACGCTATTGTGATTTCTGTGTGTGTGAATTTTATAGACTCCAGCGCCCTCAGCTTTCTCTATTTTAAGACAGACCTCTACTAATTCGGTACTGACTTTATTTGGGTGACTGAAAATTAATTTTGTTGTTGCCATTTATCATAAACAAAATACCATTTTGTTTTACCCAAATTTATCATATATAAATAAATTACAAACCACAAAAGCATGGGGAAATAATATTTCATTCACTAGGACTATCAGAGACCTTAACACAACCTAGAAGTATGAACCCCATCATCTACAGCTCCCTGGGGGAGACATGCCCATGTCAGTTCTACTAACTTTAATATATAATTAATTATACAGTATTTACTGAAGTCTATAAGGTACAAGTGTCAATATGCATATATGCACTAGAGCCCTGATTCACATATTACCAATAGAAGGTGTTTCAAATTAACTAATCTACAATTAATTATATGCAGTAATGCCCATCATCTATTAACAAACAACCATAGAAAAGATATCTACTTTCTATGAGCCCTTTGTCTCTTGTATATCTTTGGTAAATATTTATAGCTAGTGTACATTGAAATGTCCATTAGAAGACAGGTGTAGGATACTGAATGTCCTGAAGGAAGGGAAGTAATAACTAGTTGTGCAGTACCACTAACACTACTGACGGCTAGTGCTGACAAGATGTCTAGTCATTTGTGATACTGTTCACCTCAACTGGAGTCCCCCAAGGGTCATGCCTGAGCCCGGTCCTCTTCAACACCAACCAGAGTACAGGGACACCATCATCGTCCAATTTACTGACGACGTAACACACATAATAACATCTAACTCAAGCATCTAAACAGTCAAACACGTGAATGTCACCCATAAGGGGAACGTAGAACTAACCAGGACTTCTAACTGGGAAAGAAAATGAAGGATCAATACTAACCCAGACAAAATCCAAATAAGCACTGTCGGCTGTATGGCCTACACAACCGAAGATGACGGGAGAGATAAGGATTCAGGGGTGAACCCATAGCCATCTCAAACTCCAATACAGTGCTGGGATACAACTTCAACAGGTTACTTAACTCCACCCAGTATATCTCCCAGAAGACAGCGATTGCCCGGGGTTACCTGTCGAGACTATTCCGCTTCAGGGCTTATGTCCCCCTGAACCTCACCCCCTGAGGTATGTTTCCTTTCACTTAATGCTTCTGTTCACCTAGCACTAAGTAGGTACTCTAGGGTTAGGCAACTATTGTGGGTTGCATTTTGGGGAAGGTAAGTAGTTGGCCCAGGAGTCCTCAATCATGGTAACAGGCTCCCTGTCCCCAATATTGGGAGACCAAGCCATATAATAGATAATAGTTTCATGCTAATGAAGACATCCACAGATCTCCAGTATCCACTATTGATACTGGTAATGGCTCCAAAGGGCTCCACTTATGGGCTATTCATACCCGTGCCACCTTTTGGGTGGCTTAATCTTTATCAATCAATCAACCTGCTAATGAATGGCAATGAGAGCGCTGAGAGGATGGCCAACGTGTGCTCCTCAGAGCATTCCCTCCCAAAGTTTATATCCATCCAAGTATTCATCTCTGGTTATTTATGTTACACTAGTGGGAGAGTCTGTACTCTCCCACTGAATCTCCCATTTGCCCATTGTCCACACTCACATGGGCACCCGTCAGAATCCTGCATCTGAGTATCAGGGGTATGGGTGGGGGAGGTTTCCCTGAGGCTGCATGTTGGATGGTATCCATAGAGCACAGTGTGTACTGTCTCTCGCGCTGGGGCTTGAGACTTCCTTCCCTGTGAGTGAGATATATAATTTGATTGAGAAGGCCTAAACTCCCAGCTACATTCTGCTATAGGCAAACAGAGGATACAGGTGACAAGAAACATACTCAGATGCCTCATCTTATCTGGAAATTAAATTAAAAAACCTTAGAGGTGTGAACCGACTGCACTTAACCGCTGTCAAAGCTTAAACCCAGAATAACATCAACCGAGTTTGGCAGGGACCACATGCCTGTAAGGTCAAATTATAAAAGATAAAATGCGCAGTCCTCTTTCTCTTTTCCATTGTTGCTGGATTTAAGTGTAAATTATACTAGTAATGAAGTAAGAGAAGATCATGGGAAAAAAACATCAACATAACCTCCTCTCCCCTTATGCAATACACCAAAGATCCACATTATCTTATCCTCTGCCTCCCTGCACCTTGTTGTCTGTAGAGGGCAGTGCGGGAGAGGTTGGTGTGGTGGGAGAGGGTGAGGGTCAGCCTTTAGAGGGCAAAGGGCAGCCCTCAGAGGGTGATGGAGCAGTGCGGGTAGAGATCCAGGCAGTTGTGACCCTTCCTGCCGGCCCTCATGGCCTCTAAGTTGCGAGAGAGCGGCGCCTCGTGCAGCAAGAAGGAGACGGCAAACCCGCTGATGTACGTAACGAAGGAGTCGAGGATCCCTCTGCTGACTGCCTGCTGGTTACTCTCGCACAACAGCCGCTCCCCACAGTCAGGACTCTCATCCCTGTGGAGGACACAACCACCTAGAGTGTATTCTTACCTTTTAGTGACAGTCTAGAAGTACTCAAGTTTATTGGGGGTGTCAGGCACTCTCTAAAAAATGATTAACATCTTTCTAGAAGGGACTGTTGAGAGTGCCAGAGTCACCTAATTCACTGGTAAGATCCTCCAAAATCTGAATCATTTTTTATTCCGATTTTGGAGGATCTAAAATCCAAGGATCCAAATCCAAAGATTGTAAGATCCTCCAAAATCTGAATCATTTTTTATTCCGATTTTGGAGGATCTAAAATCCAAGGATCCAAATCCAAAGATTGTAAGATCCTCCAAAATCTGAATCATTTTTTATTCCGATTTTGGAGGATCTAAAATTCAAGGATCTAAATCCAAAGATTCAAAATCTGATCTTATCCTCCAGCATTATACTTTTAAGTGATCTTTACTTAACATTTTATATGATATGTATAGTAATATTGGCAAGTGTTTGGTGGTGGTTATGGAGGGGCTGGCTGGGTACTCATCTACCAGTGTTTGCTGGGTACTCATCTACCAGTGTTTGCTGGGTACTCATCTACCTGTGTTTGCTGGGTACTCATCTACCAGTGTTTGCTGGGTACTCATCTACCAGTGTTTGCTGGGTACTCATCTACCTGTGTTTGCTGGGTACTCATCTACCAGTCTGGTGAGGGGGACTCACAGTGAGTGAGGTCTGGTGAGAGGACTCACAGTGAGTGAGATCTGGGGACAGGACTGCAGTATTTGTGGACTGGTGACAGGAATGTATTGTGTGGTAAGAGAACTGGCAGTGAATATAAACATTGTTGTCAGGTGTGGGTGTGTGACTAGAGATATAGTACCTGTGTACCACAGTCAGAGGTACTCCACACAATGCAGCACATGTGTAGTACACAGACGCACACATTTCAGCAAGACTTTACATCTGATCCCCTCATATAACACTCGCTCGAAGAACTACACATAAGATTAACAATAATGGAAAGATAGTTTTACTAGCAAACCTGTAGAGATAAATGGTGATCATATTCAAGACTATCTCGGCCAGGTTGTTGAAGTTGTCTCCGAAGAGTCCAAAGCCAGGCAGGATGGCCACTCTGGCTTGGGCCGCTCCGTCCTCGGCCCCCAGCGTTGTCATGCTATTGGAGTGGCCCCCGTATATGGCGTCGGCCAGCAAGTCGAATACAATCACTCCGAAGGCCAGAAAGCCGATTGACATGATCGACTGATTACTGTATGTTAACCTGAGGATTGTAGAAGTGGTGTGGCATTAGGCAAGCATTGTTATTGAACTTAAAATATAGGTAACTAGTGTAAAATAAAATAACTGGTTAACGTTAATGGATGTTGTTGCAGCCTCGGGCGATCACCACTTCTGCAGACACACGTCACACATTCCTGGGTCAGGATTCTCAAAGCAATTATGTGTTCACTTACGAGTTCTCTACCTCTTATCTTGGTCGTGGTGGTTTTCAATATTTACTCGACAGCTTACGAGCTCCGAAGCGTTACGAGACTATTGAAAACAACGGTAATCTTGGGCTGCGGACAACCTCGTAGCATTTTGCAGTTCGTAGGCTATTTAAAAATGTAAGCTTCGTCACCATTATTGAAATAAGACTCATAAATCTCATAACTGGACACAAGTGCTTTGTAAACTCTGGCACTGAAGTATAAACAGGTCTTGGTTACTTGTGGGTCATTCTACCTATCTCCACCCACTTTAAAATACCATATTGTCTTGATGAGGAGGGATGAGTACTTCATCCACCATGAGGAAACTTACATATATATACTCCAGGCTATTTGCATTTAGACCTGAGGAAAATTGCATTACAAGCTTTCTAAACAGTTTCCATCTCAGGAACCATTGCTGAATACGTGTAAAGAATTCAACAAAATTGGACCCCGGGAACACTTCAAAAATGGATTTAAAAGAGGAGGAGGATTGGCCGTTTCCCACAAGATATACAAAAATCTAATTTACGCATTATAGAAGGAAATATGATGTCTTTCCTTGACAGCTAAAATAGTGAAAATAAAATACTGTTTTGACAATAAACATGACCATTATGTAATGATATTGTCACAGAACTTTCTATAATAATATAAAATCAAGAAAACAATTATTTAAATTCCTGTTTCAAGTTTGTTCATTACAGGAGTAAACTTCACAGACATACAGGAGTAAACATGACCATTATGTAATGATATTGTCACAGAACTTTCTATAATAATATAAAATCAAGAAAACAATTATTTAAATTCCTGTTTCAAGTTTGTTCATTACAGGAGTAATACCTGGTCACAGACATACAGGAGTAACACCTGGTCACAGACATACAGGAGTAATACCTGGTCACAGACATACAGCAGTAATACCTGGTCACAGACATACAGCAGTAATACCTGCTCACAGACAGACATACAGGAGTAATACCTGGTCACAGACATACATAAATTAATCTTTCATCATTGTCATTACTGTACCAGTATTTACATACCAACCCAACTCATCTATATTGATTCTCTCTTCAATAGACTAACATTCTAGGAACAGTTTGTTTACGGCTGGATTTTGGATTTTTACATTAAGTTTGAAACTGTTCCCAAGTTCCGATTTTCTTGGGTAAGTTACTTGGCAATGGTTTCCGAGCTGGAGACAGTTTAGAAACCCAGTGAAGCCATTTGGCCCACGTTCAAGAAATACTTGGTGTAGATTGCCCTTCATTACTCTAGGTCCATTTTTTCTTGATAACAGAGGGCTCCAGCCTCTAGGGTTGATCTCCAGGATCCCGTGGGGACTGCACAGACCACTGCTACAAGCTACGATTGTCATCTGTTACCCAGATGACAGATGAATAATTTAGAACCATAATAATAATAAATTATTTTATTGGTACAGCAAAACATAAATTATCAATCGATAACCTTCCTTTTCTTTGATGAACTACTGCCCATGTAGACCCAACAACCACTGATGTAGACCCAACAACCACTGATGTAGACCCAACAACCACTGATGTAGACCCAACAACCACTGATGTAGACCCAACAACCACTGACACACTACTGCCCATGTAGACCCAACAACCACTGATGTAGACCCAACAACCACTGATGTAGACCCAACAACCACTGACACACTACTGCCCATGTAGACCCAACAACCACTGACACACTACTGCCCATGTAGACCCAACAACCGCTGACACACTACTGCCCATGTAGACCCAACAACCACTGACACTACTGCCCATGTAGACCCAACAACCACTGACACACTACTGCCCATGTAGACCCAACAACCACTTACACACTACTGCCCATGTAGACCCAACAACCACTGACACTACTGCCCATGTAGACCCAACAACCACTGACACACTACTGCCCATGTAGACCCAACAACCACTTACACACTACTGCCCATGTAGACCCAACAACCACTGACACACTACTGCCCATGTAGACCCAACAACCACTGACACACTACTGCCCATGTAGACCCAACAACCACTGACACACTACTGCCCATGTAGACCCAACAACCACTGACACACTACTGCCCATGTAGACCCAACAACCACTGACACTACTGCCCATGTAGACCCAACAACCACTGACACACTACTGCCCATGTAGACCCAACAACCACTGACACACTACTGCCCATGTAGACCCAACAACCACTGACACACTACTGCCCATGTAGACTCAACAACCACTGACACACTACTGCCCATGTAGACCCAACAACCACTGACACACTACTGCCCATGTAGACCCAACAACCACTGACACTACTGCCCATGTAGACCCAACAACCACTGACACACTACTGCCCATGTAGACCCAACAACCACTGACACACTACTGCCCATGTAGACCCAACAACCACTGACACACTACTGCCCATGTAGACCCAACAACCACTGACACACTACTGCCCATGTAGACCCAACAACCACTGACACAAAACTGCCCATGTAGACCCAACAACCACTGACACACTACTGCCCATGTAGACCCAACAACCACTGACACACTACTGCCCATGTAGACCCAACAACCACTGACACACTACTGCCCATGTAGACCCAACAACCACTGACACACTACTGCCCATGTAGACCCCACAACCACTCAGCAATGTCAGTAACATGCTCAGTACACAACACAAGAGTTGTGGAAAGGGAAACAAAAGGTCGACCAATAATAATGACGCTTTCGATAAACGAGAAGAAACTTAATACTGTATAATTATTATGTATATATTAAAGAGGATTTAGGGAGAGGAATACAGCAACATTAAAGCTACTGGGAGAGTCTAGGGTGAAGTAGCAGCTAGAGGGAGAGTCTAGTGTGAGGTAGCAGCTAGAGGGAGAGTCTAGTGTGAGGTAGCAGCTAGAGGAAGAGTCTAGTGTGAGGTAGCAGCTAGAGGGAGAGTCTAGGGTGAGGTAGCTGCTAGAGGGAGAGTCTAGGGTGAGGTAGCTGCTAGAGGGAGAGTCTAGGGTGAGGTAGCTGCTAGAGGGAGAGTCTAGGGTGAGGTAGCTGCTAGAGGAAGAGTCTAGTGTGAGGTAGCAGCTAGAGGGAGAGTCTAGGGTGAGGTAGCAGCTAGAGGGAGAGTCTAGGGTGAGGTAGCAGCTAGAGGGAGAGTCTAGGGTGAGGTAGCAGCTAGAGGAAGAGTCTAGGGTGAGGTGGCAGCTAGAGGAAGAGTCTAGGGTGAGGTAACAGCTAGAGGAAGAGTCTAGGGTGAGGTAACAGCTAGAGGAAGAGTCTAGGGTGAGGTAACAGCTAGAGGAAGAGTCTAGGGTGAGGTAACAGCTAGAGGAAGAGTCTAGGGCGAGGTGGCAGCTACAGTCTTTAGAGAAATGTGGAACAGGGTAACACTCACTGCCTGGCCTCCTGCAGGAGCCGCTGGAGGAGTGTGTGGTTGATGGCACTGATCTTGTCTCCGGGCGACCTGAGCTCCAGCACCCTCTTGGTCGCCCCTGCCGCCCCTGCCGCCCACGGTGTCCTGCAAGAAGAAGTATTATTGCAAGCGTGTCATACTGCCTGCACCTCTTGACACAGACAGTAAGATAAATATATGTAGTAGACATAATAGAGGAAAAATAAATTGGTTAGACAGGCGGGGTCCAAGAGCTAATAGCCCGATTCTGCAGATACAGATAGTTAATATAGACTCCCATTTATGGCCGTATCCATCTCCCATCTGAAGTGTGTTCGCCTGAATTTTCCTGAAGTCCAACATCTCTAGTGGCTTCGAGGGGAACAGGAAGCACTGAATGCCACCATCTCTAGGGTCCTCGACGGGTGATGGAAAGCCGGCGGCTTGCCAAACGTCGAATTAGTCCCCAGGATTTAAAAAAATTAAATTCTGGTGGTTGAATGGGTTCATGATTGTTGGTCGACAGCAGCTTAAAAATAAGTCTTAGTAACACTAGTAAATTAGTGACACTACTGATGTGGTACCACTAACACTGCTGGGGGTACCACTAACACTGCTGGTACCATCAACACTGCCAGTGGTATCAAATCCTTCTACTCACCTAAAAATAGGAGAAAACATGCACATTCCGCGAGGGGCCACTCACCACACTTGTGAGAGGTGATGATCCGGCATACTCTCTCTTATTCTCGTCTCTGGTCGTCCCGAAAGCTGCGACAGTTTAGCCTGAGTTAACAAAATACTTTAGTCACCCCATACGTTAATTTGCGCGTTTTCTATATTGCACGTCATCCCATTCTCTAAGAAAGACAATACCTATGACTACTGTGGATGGAATATACTAAATATGGGCTGCTGTATCCCACAAAAAGCAACATTTTGTATTATTGGAATTCTAAAGAGGCCAAAAAAAGCTCTTATCTCTAATTTTATATATTGTTTTTATCTCTTAGCAGTGTAATGCAGCAATTAGAGAAGTATGTAATAGTTACACTGAGGTCGTTACCTGGAGGAGTGTAGGAGGAAGTGTGTTGTCCCTACGCCCGCTCACCACCACACACGCCCACGCCACCACACACGCCCACGCCACCACACTCACACGCATCTCTACGGAACAATGAAGGGTAAATTACATAATCTGTAATACTGAAGGCTTCAACTACATCATAATTACTACTAGTTTATATTGTGTAAATTCCCTGAGGGCTACCATCTCTCTATTGACCTTAACTGGGACTGGACGCCCTGAGGGCCACCATCTCTCTAGTGACCTTAACTGGGACTGGACGCCCTGAGGGCCACCATCTCTCTAGTGACTTTAACTGGGACCGGACGCCCTGAGGGCCACCATCTCTCTAGTGACCTTAACTGGGACTGGACGCCCTGAGGGGCACCATCTCTCTAGTGACCTTAACAGGGACAGAGTAGAAGGGATGACACCTTAGCGGGAACCTTTTGCTTTGGAAAAAGTCCTTGCTATGCCGTACCCTCTTTATGGCACGTCGTTCTTTGAAAAATTCCTCGGTGCGGTCTTAAAGAATTCTTATGGGAAAAATTCGTCGCTGCGATTGAAAAAAGTCCTCGTTACGGTGTTAAGGAATTTTTATGGAGAAAAACCCTCGTTGCAGTCTTAAGGAATTCTTATGAAGAAAAATACTAAACACTTAAGTCACTGTAAGAAACTCTTACATAAATACTAATTTCAGAACATTTCACAAACGCACATTCAACTATTTTACCAACTTGTCTTATCCTAGTCTATTCTTATTACCATTTCCCTGTTAGTTCTGCTTTCACTCTAATATTCTTGGAGGAATTGTTATGGAGAAAATTCGTCACTAAGCTGTAGCCGTGTAAGAGTAAATTTATAGTAAGAGGTTGTCCATTTTTAGAGGATAAGTTAATTAGGAGTATGTTAAGTAATTAGTAATGTCAAATGTTAGTTCTTAGACCCGGCTCTTAACGTTTATAGGTATAGTATAGTATAGTAGTAGTAGTAGTAGGCATCCATCAGTCTCAGGAGACTATGGAGTTGCGCTCTGGTTGTCGGTCTGGAGTGGCCTCACCAGGGCGCAAAGCCAGGGTAGGTTACACGCAGAAATCACAATGGCGTGATGCATCAAATGAACAAATCCACAGGGGCCGTGGATTTGACGAGGTTCGAATCCTCGTCACTGCCCTTGTGGATTTGTTCAGGGTAGGTTGATATGGAGAAGCTGTCATCCCGCTCTCCACGGCACTGAAAGTCTCCAGTGGAAAGGCAAACGCCAATACGATTGGATTCAGCGCCGTCGCAGGAACTGTCAGAACGATGTTGAGGGTAACAACAAACTTCCCCTAGAGGTTCCAGCTCCGGAGTTGACCTCGAAGTTGGTAAAAGAAGGCACAATGACTCCAAGCCCGGAGACCGTCGAGGTCGGGGCCGGAGAAGAACCACCCCAGCAAGGGTAAGAACGACCCCAGCCGCCTGAAGCAGAGCCTGGGTCGCATGAGCCCCATGCAGGAGGTGGACTTCCGAGCCCCGCACCTACGGGCACCTTCCGAGCCCCGCACCTACGGGCACCTTCCGAGCCCCGCACCTACGGGCACCTGCGGCGGTGAGACAGTAAAACAAAATAAGGTAAGTGACACGCTCCAGCTCCTGTCCTCCGCCTTACTCCTCTCTCGAAAACTTCGTTAATAACAGTTCATTTTCCCAGATTTAAAACCACCGTTTTCCAGACGTAGTAAAATGAATCAAATGCAGTTGCCGAGCTCTAGCTCTTTTCCTTAGTTCAATGTTCACCAAAACATAAGTTATTTCAGAACAAGTGAGTTAGCTCTTGTCTGTCGCATATATCAAAGTAAACATGTTTCTCAGATCAAAGTACATACTTATCATTGTAGGTAAACACGAGTCATGACCTCTCAATATGCATAAGGAGAGAAGAGGGGATATAATCACAAAATACAAGATACTGAGGGGAAGAGACAAGATGAACAAGGAAAGCCGTGTTAGACTGAGAGGAAGTGTAACGAGTGGACACAAGTGGAAGCTGGAAACACATATAAATAAATAAATATAAATATGTTTATTCAGGTAAGGTATATACATACAAGTGATGTTACATTAATGGATTGATATATAGATAGAGCTAGTACATACAATGCCTAAAGCCACTATTACGCAATGCGTTTCGGGCAAGAAAAACATTAATATCTAGAACTTAATACTAATTGAGCATAAAGAATAAAAAGTGTTGAGAACAAATACAAATAAAGATAAAAAAAGGGGGAACATGACTGAAAAAGCAGCACAAATACAATAGGTTGACAAACAGTGTTGATTAAAAAAAGAAAATAACAGACATGGGTTGACAATAGAGGAGTGAGGTAGATTACAGGGAATTTATTAGGTAGTGTTTAGTTTTTATCTTAAACTGGGTGAGAGAGGTACAGTCTTTAACATGGTTGGGAAGGTCATTCCACATTCTGGGCCCCTTGATTTGCAGAGCATTTCTAGTTTGATTAAGACGTACTCTAGGAATATCAAAACTGTATTTATTTCTGGTGTGGTGCTCATGGGTTCTGTTACAACCTTCTATGAAGCTTTTGAGATCAGGATTGGCATTATAGTTTAGCGTTTTATATATGTATAATACACATGAGAGAATGTGCAGTGACTTAATGTCTAACATATTCAGAGATTTGAGTAGGGGCACCGAGTGATGTCTGGGGCCAGAGTTGGATATTGTTCTAATAGCAGCTTTGTGTTGGGTAATTAGAGGACGTAAGTGATTTTGGGTAGTAGAACCCCAAGCACAAATACCATAGTTGAGATATGGATAGATAAGGGAGTAATAGAGAGTCACCAGGGCAGGGCGTGGTACATAATATCTGATCTTAGAAAGAATGCCCACAGTTTTTGAAACTTTTTTTGATATATTTAGAATGTGTCCCTGGAAATTCAGCTTGTGGTCAATGAGAACGCCAAGGAATTTGCCATCTAATTTGTTACAAATTTGGGTATTGTTTATTTTGAGATTTATTTGATTAGAGGATTTATTGCCAAACAGAATATAGAAAGTTTTGTCAATGTTAAGGGTGAGTTTGACATGAGTCAAACAAATGTGAGGAGATACCTATGCCCTGCATTTACTTACAATAAGTCACTATGTAACAAATTGAGGACGAATCGTAGATTTTTATAGATAATTCAAGAACAAATGTTCAAGAAATGGTTAAGTATTTAATTGAAAATGATATACTACCAGGAATCTTAATCAAATATCGCAAGTTTGCTTATGTGATGGGTGTGGAGTGAATGACAGCCAAATTAAAACTATATGTAACTGGCTCAATACAAATTTAAAATGTTTAGCCTATAGATAGACCCCAGTTCACTAACTGGGGTCCATTACTGAACAAATTAATTGTATGTGACTGTAACCATTTCTATTACCACTCACAGGTTAGGGACGAGGTACACAATAAATTTAAAAAAATATTTATTAAATAAGTGCAACTATATTAAACTGTATCTTACCTTTGAATACTTCAGGGTTGTTAATAGATGAAGGAGGAGCCACCTGCTCGCGACGGTTGCTGGAGCCTGACTGAGCTTTCAAGCTCCGCCCAGCCGGGGAAGGAAGGCAATGGCCGTTCTTTGTTTTCCCAGTATAAACAACGAGTATTGAGCAGCTGTAAGCCACGCTCTTGCATTTAACTACTGAACGCTATAAGAACGTAACATCGCTCCTATTAACTTATAATAATGTTAAGTGTGCCATATAAAAGCTACTCGGGGGTTTTAAATTGAATGGCAAGTAAAGAGAATTTGATTTGTTGTCAATACTGGGGAGACTAAGCGCCTCGTGTGAGTTTCCCGCTACTTCCTGGCGGTTGTATCAGCCGTTAACATAACCGCCGCCACCCACACAAGTCAACATCACAACTCTGCAGTTCGGATTGCTTTATAACACGTACTGATTAGCACTATACGGCGATGCTCTGCAAGTTGCACTATAGCAAGAGAACCCGGCAAGCAACTCTTATCAGAGTTTTCTGTACTTGATGTTGTTACTTTATAAATACTGCAACGGTGTCTGGCTATATTTAAAGACCAATGGCAGTATATTTGGAATCTTTGTTGCTTCTGTTTTAATGTATTCAGCTTATTGTATTCATCAATTATGCTATATTCTGATATCAGAACGATATATTCTGTGGGCGGAAGTGAACCCAATACCCATCCTGTGGGCGGTAGTGGACCCCATACCCATCCTGTGGGCGGTAGTGGACCCCATACCATGTCTTGTGGGCGGTAGTGGACCCCATACCCATCCTGTGGGCGGTAGTGGACCCCATACCCATCCTGTGGGCGGTAGTGGACCCCATACCCATCTTGTGGGCGGTAGTGGACCCCATACCCATCCTGTGGGCGGTAGTGGACCCCATACCCATCCTGTGGGTGGTAGTGGACCCCATACCCATCCTGTGGGCGGTTGTGGACCCCTTACCCATCCTGTGGGTGGTAGTGGACCCCATACCCATCCTGTGGGCGGTTGTGGACCCCTTACCCATCCTGTGGGCGGTAGTGGACCCCATACCCATCCTGTGGGCGGTAGTGGACCCCATATCCATCCTGTGAGCGGTAGTGGACCCCATACCCATCCTGTGGGCGGTAGTGGACCCCATATCCATCCTGTGGACGGTAATGGACCCCATACCCATCCTGTGGGCGGTAGTGGACCCCATACCCATCCTGTGGGCGGTAGTGGACTCCATATCCATCCTGTGGACGGTAGTGGACCCCATACCCATCCTGTGGGCGGTAGTGGACCCCATACCCATCCTGTGGGCGGTGGTGGACCCCATACCCATCCTGTGGGCGGTGGTGGACCCCCATACCCATCCTGTGGGCGGTGGTGGACCCCATACCCATCCTGTGGACGGTGGTGGACCCCATACCCATCCTGTGGGTGATGGTGGACCCCCATACCCATCCTGTGGACGGTGGTGGACCCCCATACCCATCCTGTGGGCGGTGGTGGACCCCATACCCATCCTGTGGGCGGTGGTGGACCCCCATACCCATCCTGTGAGCGGTGGTGGACCCCCATACCCATCCTGTGAGCGGTGGTGGACCCCATACCCATCCTGTGGACGGTGGTGGACCCCATACCCATCCTGTGGACGGTGGTGGACCCCATACCCATCCTGTGGGCGGTGGTGGACCCCATACCCATCCTGTGGCCGGTGGTGGACCCCATACCCATCCTGTGGGCGGTGGTGGACCCCATACCCATCCTGTGGGTGATGGTGGACCCCCATACCCATCCTGTGGACGGTGGTGGACCCCCATACCCATCCTGTGGGCGGTGGTGGACCCCATACCCATCCTGTGGGCGGTGGTGGACCCCATACCCATCCTGTGGGCGGTGGTGGACCCCATACCCATCCTGTGGGTGATGGTGGACCCCCATACCCATCCTGTGGACGGTGGTGGACCCCCATACCCATCCTGTGGGCGGTGGTGGACCCCATACCCATCCTGTAGACGGTGGTGGACCCCATACCCATCCTGTGGGCGGTGGTGGACCCCATACCCATCCTGTAGACGGTGGTGGACCCCATACCCATCCTGTGGGCGGTGGTGGACCCCATACCCATCCTGTAGACGGTGGTGGACCCCATACCCATCCTGTGGGCGGTGGTGGACCCCATACCCATCCTGTGGGCGGTGGTGGACCCCATACCCATCCTGTGGGTGATGGTGGACCCCCATACCCATCCTGTGGACGGTGGTGGACCCCCATACCCATCCTGTGGGCGGTGGTGGACCCCATACCCATCCTGTAGACGGTGGTGGACCCCATACCCATCCTGTGGGCGGTGGTGGACCCCATACCCATCCTGTAGACGGTGGTGGACCCCATACCCATCCTGTGGGCGGTGGTGGACCCCATACCCATCCTGTAGACGGTGGTGGACCCCATACCCATCCTGTGGGCGGTGGT